GATTGGACTAGGGAAATGACCAACCAGCAGGAATCCTGTCTTGCAGGGTTGAACCTTGGCGGTGCACTTTCCGACACTGTCCTCTGCCTTACAGTTTAGTGTTTATGCCCTAAAAAAAAAGTCATAGCACAGATATTCAGCATGGCTCTCATTTGTATCCATATGCACAGACTCTTGTGGCATTGAAACAAGGAGCCTATTTGGTGAGGCAGTTTATAAATTCATCAAAGGTGCCATAGGAGGAAAAGTACTTCTTCCAAAAAGGAAGGTTTCTAAACCCCCTTCCTCGAAGGGGTTTTCTCAAAAAAGAAAAAAGTGCCCCGTTGCTCTCCTCAGATGTCCTCTTCAAAGTCAAAACTCAGTCCCCTAAGATCAGAGACCCCCACAGAGAGATTCACTGAGAGTTCTGAGCCTCATGGTGGCCTCCTTTTAGGTTGTCCCTTCATTCAATTCAAGGCTTCTTCAAATTCAACATCTTTTTTTTTTTTTTTTTTTTTTTTTTACTAGAACAAACACACTCCTTCTCTTGACCTTCCTATGTTCCTCTCTAGTCAAGAAAGAAACTCCTAGCTTGCTGAATTTCCAGTCCAGCCTTGACAATGGGGAAGCCATTGAGGGTGATAACTGATGCCAGCCTCATAGGGGTGAGGAGTGTTCCAGTCCCTCACATTTCAGTTAACATTATTGCCCAAGGAAGCCAAGCTCCCTGTCAACACCCTGGAGCTTAGAGTGATAAAACTGACTCTGAATCACTGAACCCCCCCCCCCCCCCCCCCCCCCCCCCCCCCTTCAGGGTCATCCGATCAGGAAACAATTGGTCAACACCATGACTGTTGCCTGCATCAATAAAAGTAAGTCCGATCATTTCATGGGCAGAGAAACCATGTCCATCCCTTCCCGCCCCGCATGTTCATATTTCCAGGAGTGGGCACTTGGAGTTCAGGTAACAGTCATCACCACCTGGACCAAAGTGAATGGCCCTTCATCCTAATTTCGTCAGTCTCATATGTCAGAAATGGATGTGGACATCCTGGCCTCAAAGTGCAAGCAAGTTACCTCTGTTTGGAGCCAGGACCAAGGATCCACTAGCACTGGCTTCAGATGTCCTGATAATTCCCTGGACCCTGTTCCAGTGTATGCATGCCTTTCCTCTGGTGTGAATTCTGTCTCAACTGCACCTTAACCGCTTCCATACCGAGCACTTTTACCCCCCTTCCTGCCCAGGCCATTTTTCAGGTTTCAGCGCTCTCGCACTTTGAATGACAATTGCGCGGTCATACAACATTGTACCCAAACTAAAATTTTATCATTTTCTTCACACAACTAGAGCTTTCTTTTGGTGGTATTTAATCACCACTGGGGTTTTTATTTTTTGCTAAATTAACAAAAAAAGACCGAAAATGTAAAAAAAAAAAATACACGTTTTTCTTTGTTTCTGTTATAAAAGTTTGCAAATAAATAATTGTTCTTCATAAATTTAGGCCAAGATGTATTCTGCTACATGTCTTTGGTGAAAATAACCCAAATTAGGATGTATTTTTTAGTTTGTATGAAAGTTATAGAGTTCACAAACTATGGTATAGATCTGAATATTGATCAATCCTGAAGTACTGACGGCCAATCTAATTTCTTGAGGTCCAAGAATGTCAGAACAGTACAGATATCCCCCAAATGACCCCTTTTTGCAAAGTAGACAGTCCGACGTATTTCATAAGAGGCATGGCGAGCTTTTTGAAGTTGTGTTTTTTTTTTTTTTTTTTCGGCAAATAAAAAAATTAAAAAAATTATTTTCACAATTTTTTTTTTTTTTTTTTTACATACTGTCACCAGTGCAGTACAGCATCATCATATAACTGGCATGGCGGTGAACAGGGACACTGACTGGTGACAGTATGAAAAAAAAAAATATACATTTTTTTTTTTTTTTACTATTTTTTTAATTTTTTTTACATTTTTTTTTTTTTTTTTTTCATATTTCACTATGACCAAAGTAGTACAATGTTACCATAGTAACATTGTACTACTTTGGGGAAGTGATCAGTATTTTTTTTTTTGTATACACAATTTGCTTATAGCCAAGAATCACTTTGCTATAAGCAAGCATTTACCTGAATGACATCGATTCATTCAGGGTTTTTTTTTTTTTTTTTTTTTTTGTGCTTACCTGTGATTTGGCCACGGCTTATCAAATGACACAGCTGGACTGTGATTGGCCCAGCTTGTGCATGTGATCGCTGTGACCATTCACAGCTAGACACTTGTATACAATGGATGACATGAATGAAGCCATCCATTGTATACAACTGTCATGTGACCTGCTGTGATTGGTCACAGCAGGTCACATGGTACTGGCAACGGGGCTGGTACTTAGATCTGTCATCGGCCGTGTCTGAGGTACACTGACGGTGACAGATCGCGCCGCTGCGCGGCTCTTCAGGCGTGCAAACTGCGCATGCCTGAAAGGCCGCCATATGGTGTCCACCCGGAACGGTGAGGGTTTTTTCTGGCCGCCATTCGGCCATAGGCCAGGCGGGAACCGGTTAATATAGAGCAAGAGAAGAAACTGGTGATTTTCATTGTACCGAACTGGTGCACAAACATACTCAAACTTCTAGACGTTCCAGACAGGCCAGATCTTCATTCTGAGGGCCATCTGTTCTATTCTGCTTCCCAGTCACTGGCTTTAATGGCATGGCCGCTGAAACCCATTTCTTGAAGGACGGCTGTGTCTCCGTTTTTTTTTTCATTCCCATATTTCTCAAAACCAATTCCAGAAAAATGTACTATTGTACCTGGAAATCCTTCTTTGTCTGGTGTGAACACAGGCATTTCAGTCCCACAGATTTCTCTATGCCTCACATTCTGGTTTTCCTGCCATTGGCACTTGACCAGAATGTGGCCTTAAGTACTCTTAAGGGACAGGTGTCAGCCTTGTCCATTTTCTTCCGAAAACCTCTGGCTTTGTTTTCCCTTGTAATTCCTTTTATTCAATTTGATTTGTTTCTTGGTTTAGACAACAGGAACTGGGGGATGATCTTTCCTGCAAAGTGGCCTTCCTAGTGGCTGTTACATCTGTCAGATGTGTCTGAACTAGATGTTCTCCCTTGTAAGGAGCTATTCCTGATCCTTTACATAGACAAAGTAGTCTTGCACCCAAGACCTAACTTTGTACAAAGGTGGTATGTAATTTCTACCTTCATCAAGACATAGTCTTTGTCTCCTGTACTGCTCCTAAGGACCCCAAAGAGACTGCTCTTCACCCGTGTGGAGGTTACCAAAGTTTTGCTTAAAGGGGGTGGTTAAAACACAGCTCAAGTACCTATTTTTACACCCCCCCCCATCCTCTCCTAAACTAAGCCTAAGGCCTCGTGCATATGAACTGTGAGAGGCTGAAAATAATTTACTAGCAAAAAATGAGGGCTGTTTTTGCCCCGTCAAGTGGGCTGCAGGTGGCGCGTACAGCTGACCATAGAAGTGAATGGCATTATTCACTTGTGTTTGGATATAAAGTATGGGAATACTTTGGTGCATCATAAGAAACGTGGATATGATGTATTTCTTGATCAGGGAAATTCCGCTTTCAGGAAATATGTCATATGCACATGTATTTACTCTATTCTATAGATTGTACACCCCAGGGACTGATGTGAATGTACAATATATATATGTGCAAAGCACTGCGTAAATTGACGGCGCTATATAAGTACCTTTTTATAAGTAATATTCACCAAAGCACTGGCATATATCTAAGTACAAACGTGAGCAACCATTCACTTTTATGACTCTGCACATGCCAACTGTGGCTCCCCTGGTGGATAATAATGGCGTTTTATGTTGTTGTATTTTTTTAACCTCTCACTCTGTGTACGAGGCCTTAAGAGAGAAAATGTTACATTTTCCATTTTGCTTTAATCACATAGAGAAAGTAGAAAAAATGGTTAGTGTTACTAAACCCACAACAGTAAAATCAGTCTGTATATGCTCTACAGCATGCTTGTTATACTCACTGAGGAACCTAAGGGGTTAATCCTCCGCTTTATGTAAAAAGGCTTTGATCCTGCCTTCTCTGAACCTCCCTTTCTGCTACAGTCCCCAATCCATCTGCTGATAGAACAGAGCATTGAGGGTAAGCTGCACATGCTCAGTTTGGTGTGTGTTGCTAGAGAGTTTTTCTTTTTTTTTGGGAGAGTGCATGTGATCAGCACAGGGCCAATCAGTGCTGTCCAGAGGTTCAGGGGTTATGCAGCTTCATATGACAATCAGGGAAGGAGAAAGGTCCCCCTGCAAGCTTTTACCAGTGCTTTGTTGGGTAATGATAGAAGTCATAAGACTGCTATATACTGCTGATGAGAAAAGGTATTTAGCAGTTTATATTTACTAAAATAATTGCACAGTGGGAGACCAGATATAGTGAATGCAGGGTCCGGGGAGACCAGATATAGTGAATGCAGGGTCCGGGGAGACCAGATATAGTGAATGCAGGGTCCTGGGAGACCAGATATAGTGAATGCAGGGTCCGGGGAGACCAGATATAGTGGATGCAGGGTCCTGGGAGACCAGATATAGTGAATGCAGGGTCCTGGGAGACCGGATATAGTGAATGCAGGGTCCGGGGAGACCATATAGTGAATGCAGGGTCCCGAGTTTAGTAGCACTTTTAGAGAAAAACACTATATAAATTAAAATGATGTAATCACCCTGACTTATAATGGGTAATTCAACCACTAAGATTTCTCTTTCTGTCCTATACAGACTGGATCATTGAGGATGTCATCACCCCAGTACAGACCAGTTGCGGTCCTTCAGGAGAGAGCCAAGTAAACGTCTGGTGTGTGAAGAGGGTCATGGTTAACAACCAGACTACCGGTGATGGAAGCAGTGACACGGGATCTCCTCAAAAGACAGATCACAAGGAAACTAAACCTTCCCCACAGAAGAAATCTGATAATCAGGCAGTAGAGACTTCTACCACTACAAACGACAAAAAACCTGTTGTGGAAATGTCAAATCGGCCTACAGGTCAGGGAACACCTGTCAACATCTCAGATGACCACCAAGCCGTCCACAAGCCAGAATTCTTTGTTTGCGCTGATTGCGGTGAATGTTTTCGTGAAAAAAATGACCTGGACGAGCACGTTGTGCATCACAAGGAGGAGAAGCTGAAGGTATGCCCTGTGTGCGGACATTTTTTTTTAACTCTCAGTCCGCTCTAGAAGTTCATATGAAAATACACAATGTTGAAAATTCCTGGGAGTGTTCTGAATGCGGCAAATCATTTGGCACCAAGTCTCGCTTGGACCGTCATAAAAAACCATCCACATCAAAGACCAGCCCATTCCTTGTCCGCAGTGCGACAAATCGTTCAAGAAGCGGGAAAATTACGAGATGCATCTACGCCTGCACGCCGGGGAGGTCCTGTATCCTTGTACGGAATGTGAGAAATTGTTTACCATAAAAGCCACCTGTGACCGACACATCAGGAGCCACAGCATGGAGAGGCCCCACGTGTGCCGGCAGTGTGGCAAGTGCTTCCTGTATAATGGCTGCCTGATTCGGCACCTCCGCACTCATACCGGGGAACGCCCATTTCCCTGTCCTGAGTGCGGCAAATGCTTTCGACAAACGTCAGCACTCACCCGCCATCTGAAAACGCACTCTGGGGAAAAACCCTTTGATTGCCCTGAATGTGGCAGATGCTTCGCCAATGAATTTGATGTTGTTCGACACAGAGAAACACACCGCAATGAAGGAGAGATCGTACAGTGCGTGGCAGCGAATGATGAGCTACCAACGTATATTATCCTGTGACGAATCAGGGAACTTCTCTGTAGCAGGTTGAAAATCAGTGGTCCCCAATGTGTTGCTTGTGACCCCCAGTTTTTGATGATGCTTTCTATTGTCTCTCAGCAGAGGTTCAGTGTCTATCTGTACTTGATAATGAGATGTGCAAATAGGCTCATTGCACATCAGGAGAAACAGGTATATCTGTTTTCTGGGTGACACTGTTCATCACTGCAGCTTTTCAACACTTCATGTCAGATAGTGTGAACCTGCTGGGCAGTCTGGTTCTTTGCCAGCTTTGTCTCATAGGGGAGATTTACCTTTACGTTCTGTCCCATAGCCAAAACGGGAAGTGAAAATCCCTGCAAATTAAAGGAATCCATTGGGGCCCCAGGGTTGCCAGATCTAGTGTCCCCATTGGAAGATTTCCCCTCTATTACATTTCTGGGGACAACCCAAAATTTGGGTTTTATTTTCACTTTCAATGACGATGGTAAACAGGCCAAAAAGAGAGGGCGAATCTTCCACAGACAGACAATAAAAACCTGACTGGTGTTCTAATCCTTCTCCTTCCTGTCCAAAACTAAAAAATAGTTTTACTTTTACTTTAACACAACACCAACCGGAAAGGTGACTGATCATGCTGATGGGGTCGATTTGAATTAGAACTGTTACATTTTTTTATTAAAGCTTTTAAATAGATCACAAAAATCCCAATACAGTTTTAGTAGAACAATTTAGAATTTTTGTGAAAAAAAAAAAAAAAAAAACTTCACTCATTCACAGCATACTATACTTTCTGGCAATGCCCCCACTGAAATATGCATATTACTGTATTTTTTGCTCCATAAGACGCACCTAGGTTTTAGAGGCAGAAAACAGGAAAAAAAATATTGTGAACCAATGGACTGCGGACATAGTACAGGAGATGACCAGAGACTGCGGACACAGTACAGGAGATGACCAGAGACTGCGGACACAGTACAGGAGATGACCAGAGACTGCGGACACAGTACAGGAGATGACCAGAGACTGCGGACACAGTACAGGGGATGACCAGAGACTGCGGACACAGTACAGGGGATGACCAGAGACTGCGGACACAGTACAGGGGATGACCAGAGACTGCGGACACAGTACAGGAGATGACCAGAGACTGCGGACACAGTACAGGGGATGACCAGAGACTGCGGACACAGTACAGGGGATGACCAGAGACTGCGGACACAGTACAGGGGATGAGCAGAGACTGCGGACACAGTACAGGGGATGAGCAGAGACTGCGGACACAGTACAGGGGATGAGCAGAGACTGCGGACATAGTACAGGAGATGACCAGAGACTGTGGACAATACAGGAGATGACTGCTGACCTTTGGGGAGGGGGGGGGAGCAGGTACCCGCTCTTACTTCCGCGGAGTTGTTCTTTAGTTAGTGTCCGCTCTGCAGCGGGACCTTACCTGTTCCTCTATTCAGCCGCACGCTGTCTACCCGGCTTCTGTAGTGTGGGCGCTTGGCTTGACAGCCGGGTGCCCAGTGCGCATGAGCGAGAAGTGCTGCGCTTTGTGATTGGTCCGGCAGCTTCTGGGACCTGTCATATGTCCCAGGTGCCGCATTACCATTCACTAAGAGCACCGCTTCTTGCGCACTTGGCACCCGGCTGTCAAGCCGAGCGCCCACACTACAGAAGCCGGGTAGACAGCGCGCGGCTAGATAGAGGAACAGGTAAGGTCCCGCTGCAGAGCTGAGCGGCCGGCCCGGTATTCTGACACGGCAGTGGTGGAAACACCGGACCGGCCGCTCCATATTCGCTCCATAAGACGCACTGACATTTTCCCCCCTTTTTTGGGGGGAAAAAAGTGCGTCTTATGGAGCAAAAAATACGGTAATTAATGGGGCTCCTTAAATCTAAATGTAGTTTACATTCACTTAAAATCATGTTTTGAATGCAAATGCTGCAAGGAGATCTAAATGCCCACATATGCTGTGGAAAGGGCTTTGCGGCTTATGCGGCTACAGACATGCACTTGCAATTAATAAAAAATTTAGGAGCTGGGTGTGGACAATCCTTCTGAGGTTGTCATAGCTAGAAGGCCCTGAAGACTTGAATTGGGGCCTGTTTACATCAGTGCCAGGAGCCTAGGTGGGTGAATTCATTTTCATCTCTAAAGGCTGGTACACAAGGGCCAAGAATCGGCCAGTTCAACAGAAACCATCCGACAATCGGCCCGTGTGTACAGCAGCCTGTCCAGCTTCTGTCAAATGGGCATGCTGGAAAACCAGCAGCCGATCAATAGCTCAGCAGGGGAGATCGCTTTACTTACATTGCATAGTTAACAGCACACTGTTAACTCTTTGATCACCCCAGATGTTAACCCTTCCTGCATATTGTCATTAATACACTGACAGTGCTTTTTTATTTATTCACACTGGTCACTATGTTAATGGCACTGGAGATGTTGGTGGAAGCTAGGCAGTTCCCACCCAGTGTCAGATTGCCGCCACACTATCACTATCCCACTGAAAGTCCCCCCCGGGTCACACTGTATGTGAATTGGAATGCGATTTGCATGCCATGCAACTTGCAAATCGCATACCATGTCACACCCTATTGTCCACAGTTAGAGCGGTTATCTCGGTGCGGTTCTGACTTGGTCGGAGTCGCACCGATTTCTACAGTAGTACATGCACTACTTTTGTTGCGATTTGCATAGACATCTGTGTCAGATGCCTTGCAAATCGCACCTGAAATTGGCATGTCATCGGACTTTGAAATCGTACAACTTACAGTGAAGTCACACGGTTGCAAAGTTTGGTTTGATGTGACCGGGGTGTAAGTTGCTGATTGTCGCCATTATTAGTGTAAAAAAAACAAACCCAGTATATACTGTCATTTGCTATAATTTTCACACAAACAACTTAATATACACTTATTGGGATTTTTTTTTTACCAAAGACATGTAGCAGAATACCTTTTTTTAGCCTGATTTTTTTTTTTTTTTTTTTTTTAAATTTAGGGAAATGTTTATAGCAAAAAGTAAAAAAAAAATTCTAAATTTTCTGTCTTTTTTTTTTTTTTTATAGTGCAAAAAATTAAAAAAAAAAAACCAGTGGTCATCAAATACCACCAAAGGAAAGTTCTATTTGTGTGGAAAAAAAAATTAATTTGGGTACAGTGTTGCATGACCGCGCAATTGTCAGTTAAAGTAGTGCACCTCTATATAGCAAAAGAAATGACCTGGTCATGAAGGGAGATAAATCACCCGGAGTGCAAGTGGTTATATAGGAACGTCTGCAGGCTGATAACTGGAACATTTATGTGAAAAATTTAAAATACACAGAAATATTACAATCATATTAATGTTTTTTAAAAAAAGTCATTTGACGGTTAGCCAATAAGAGGCAATTTTGACCATAGTATTGGAAAATCCCGACCTCTAGTTTATTGGAAAATTACTATAAGGCAAAAGTTTATCAATTAAAAACTGCTAGTGTAAGTACCCAAATCTGTTCTGAAATGCCCCGCATCTCAATTCTTACACCTGAAATTGGAGGGGCCATCAAGTCATGGAGCTTGCTGAGAAGGAGAGCATCAGTGATGACCTCATCAGCATGCTCAGGTTTCTTCATTGTCCAATCAGCAGACATTCATTTTGTGCTCCATAGGTGGGTGCCTGGATTGCAAGACTGGCTGAAGAATTATGAATCCTTTTGGCAGATAAAATGGTTTTTAATGCTGAATGTTTAGCAATGTGTAAAGTTGAATTCTGGAAGCCGGTGATCTCTGCTGCATATGTCTTCCAGCATGCTGAATAATGTGTGCAATTGAGTTTTTCCCTCGCATTGCCTAAAAACAGCTGAAACATTCAGCATGTGCATTATTAATGAACTGAATGACGGTTATTGATGATTTTACCCAAAATAGAACACTCTCTATAACGGGGGGGGTCATATATAACATTTTTAAAGTAGTTTTCTGAGTGCCTTTTACCTTGTTTACTGCGGTTAAGAGAACCTGTCTGGTCTCCAAACGAATCAAAATGGCAGTTCCTCTGCAATAGAAGAGGTAGCATACTTGCCTTACCAGTGGCCTGTGGCTCGTACCTCCAGTTCCAGGACTGCAGCCTCTGTCAGTTTCTTCATTATTTCAGGTTGTGCTAATGCCCGTGTCCCCTGCCTCATGCTGTGGTTGATTCCTACGAACCCTATGTCGCTGCTAAGTCTTGTAGAAATGTGGGGTCAATGGAAGGAACTAAAGCACGTGGGAGGGGATTCAAGCATTTGACACTTCCAGAAGTGTCAGATGAGGAAGAGACTGACAGAGGCTACAGTACAGGAGGATTCAAGCACCTGACACTTCCAGAAGTGTCAAATGACAAAGAGACTGACTGAGGCTACAGTACAGGAGGATTCAAGCACCTGACACTGCAATAGAAGATATAGAATACCTCGCTTCAGTTCCAGGACTGCAGCCTCTGTCAGTTTCTTCGTTACTTCAGGTTGTGCTAATGCCCGTGTCCCCTGCCTCATGCTGTGGTTGATTCCTACGAACCCTATGTCGCTTCTAAGTCTTGTAGTAATGCATGGGTCAACGGAAGGAACTAAAGCACGTGGGAGGGGATTCAAGCATCTGACACTTCCAGAAGTGTCAGATGAGGAAGAGACTGACTGAGGCTACAGTACAGGAGGATTCTAGTACCTGACACTTCCAGAAGTGTCAAATGACAAAGACGGATGAAGGCTGCAGTACAGGGACTGAGTACAGCTCCAAGATACTTGGCACCGGATTAGCGAGTACAGTGCCAGTTTTATTGCAGGGAAATGGCGTTTTGATCTGTTTAGAGACCCGACGGGATCTCCTTAAACACAGTTTGGCAAATCTGTTTGTGATTCACAAGCTACCAGGAGTTGGGGACCTCTGATGTAAATTATTGACTGAAAATGATAAAGCTTTTTTGTAAAATGTTTTAAATATTTTGAATTGATATAGTAACAGAGTAGTTTTTATGAATTTCTTTGCTTATTAAAGGGCTAGTATTAAATGATCTGAGGAGAGAGATGTAAGTGTAGCTAATGAAAGATTTTATATACATGTCTATTTGTAAATACATTTCACTTTGCTTGTTGCCCCCAGGGACTGTGTAGGTCAGGTTGTGGGTATGGAATGCTCGTCCCTGCTCAGTGCATACTGATACAAAATGGCATTCCGTAAATGCAGCCAGGGAATCCCTTATCAGGTCCTGCATGGCAACAAGCATTAGGTAGGCATTCTTCCCAAAAACTGTGGATACCTCAGGAGTCTGTGCAGGCATATGGAACAAGGCAAGTAATAAATCTGTATTTAGCTACTGTATTTTTTTTTTACTGTCTGAATTTATTTTCTCCAATAGCTCAGTCTGCTGTTTTTTTTGTTTTGTTTGTTTTTTTTTTTTTTTTTTTTTTTTTTAAATATCCTATTCAGTTGTGTTGTTACAAGTGTTAGCATTAACATATATACTTTTTTGCTACAAATGCCAATGTCAAGAGCTACCTCTTTCCTTCGAAACTGTTGGCTTAAAGTGATTATAGAACCTTCATTTTTATTTTTATTAAAATAACAAACATGTCTATACTTACCGGCTCTGTGCAATGTTTTGCACAGAACAGCCCCAATCCTCCCACAGCCGCTCCTGGCTCCTCTTCGGCAGGTCCCCTCCATGGAAAGCCACTTTCGTGGCCAAGAATTTTCTTTTCTTTCCAGGTCACAGCTCACACTCATTTCTTTTTGCTTTATATTTCCTGCATGATTCTCCCATCATTGATTTTAAATTTGTTATTCAAAAAAATTTCCAACATGCCCAATCACTGATTCGATGGTCACACAAAAATCGTCTGTTCCTGTGATCCACTAATGGTGTGAAATTCAAACGAAAATTCTTAGAGAAGATTTTTGAAAGAAAATTCTTTCAGAATTCAACCTGTGTATGGGCCAGCTTTAGACAGAAAGGGGCTAATTGAGGATGAAAGAGATCCAGGTGCACTGAGATGTAAAAAATAATCAAAAATAAATGGCTTGTGTGTTGAAATCTAACGCTTTAACAATCTAAGGCAGTGGTTCTCAACCTTCCTAATGCGACCCTTTAATACAGTTCCTCATGTTGTGGTGACCCCCAACCATAAAATTATTTACCCAGTAATTATAATTCATGAGTGTCGTTTTACCTCCAATACTGCTGCTTTCAACACAGTAGCTGCTTTCTACACAGTAGCTGCTTTCTACACAGTAGCTGCTCTTTACACATCGGAAATATGTGTTTTCTGATGGTCTTAGGGGACCCCTGTGAAAGGGTCGTTCGACCCCCAAAAGGGTCGCGACCCACAGGTTGAGAACCACTGATCTAAGGGCTCTTTCTCGCCACCTGCACTATGACATTTCTCAGCACACTCCCAACGCAAGGACCACCCAAATTGGCGTGCAATGGAAAACAACTTTTTTGCATAGACACACAATAGGTACAAAAAAAAAAAAAAAATATTTCAGTTCTGTGTTCTGCTGTGGAAAATGAACCTTGAAAGTGCAGTGTTTTGACAAGAATTCTTGCAGCTGCACCACCCACACAGGAATGCAGGACCCTCAGGTGGGTGCCATTAATTCTAATGGCACGCCGCCCGCGCTGGAAATCGCAACCTTACTGGGAACCTCTTTTCCCGTGTGGGCTGCAATTTCCAAAGTAGTGCAGAAATTTCTTCCCTTCGTGTCCCGGGGCACAGGAGTCCATTCAAATGGATGGACTCTCATGCCCACGCAAATCGCGGCGGCCCGCACAGATGTGAACCAGGGCTAAATCATATTCTAAAAAATAGTACTGGTAGAGCGCTGGACTCAAAGTATGATTTCGTGTAACCTCCTTTTTTAAAAGGCAGCCCTCTATCATAATATGAGGCAACCCTAATGGGTCCCCAGAGCAACTGAAAAAAAGTGTAAAAGATGAAAGTGCTACAAGTCTATAAGTAGACATATTCATCTTAGATTGTAAGCTCCCAGGATCAGGGCCCTCCTATCCCTCTTGTATTGAACTGTATTGTTGCTGTATTGTCTCCGTTATATTGTAAAGTGCTGAGCAAACTGTTGGCACCATATAAATCCTGTATAATAATAATCAAGGTAAAAAGATCAATAGGTAAAGCCAATGCATTTCTGGGGGCTCAAACTCTCCATCAGGGTGTGTGCTGGTGGAGATAGAAGGAAATACTAGACAAAGGATAACCATAGAGACACCAGGTTGTCAGTCGTGGTGCCCATACTGTTGTCATTCTAATCCTTAGTTTGCATTGTCCAGCATTTCCTACTCCTCACACCCTGATGAAGGTGGATTTGTGAGCCCTGAAATGTGTTGGCTTTACCTACTGATTTTTTTTTTTTTTTTTTTAAATCTAGCTTCATCTATACTGGAATATGTATAGACTTGTGGTGCTATCAATCAGGAAGGGAAGCCATGGATTTGTGATATACTGATTACCATGGCCCCAAATGTTCACCCATTACCAGTCTGTGATTCAGTGAATGCACCTAAACAGTCAATAGAAGAGCCCAGAATATGATTTGTGGAGCTGAATATGTATGTACAGATAACACTTGTGCCCCAGACATGAGCAATGGTAGTTTGCTAAGCCTTTTAACTTCACAGGTCACCTTTTTAAAATATATGTGAACCCTTCCTTTGTAGGAAAACGTTATCTAGTCAGAATAGATTTTGTAAGTGGACAACATTAGTAGAATTCAAAGCTGTACGTTGTAAGTACCTTTTCTGGCTAATTTTACAAATGATCATGTGACTGCTCTTTAGCCCTGCGTACATGAGCTTCCGAGGGGTGGAGGTGGAGACTGATAATTGAAGGCTTCTGACAGTGTGACGTATCATATATAAACGTATGCACATACAGTGGGGCAAAAAAGTATTTAGTCAGCCACCAATTGTGCAAGTTCTCCCACTTAAAAAGATGAGAGAGGCCTGTAATTGGCATCATAGGTAGACCTCAACTATGAGAGACAAAATGAGAAAAAAAAAATCCAGACAATCACATTGGCTGATTTGAAAAGAATTTATTTGCAAATTATGGTGGAAAATAAGTATTTGGTCAATATGAAAAGTTCATCTCAATACTTTGTTATATATCCTTTGTTGGCAATGACAGAGGTCAGACGTTTCCTGTAAGTCTTCACAAGGTTGGCACACACTGTTGCTGGTATGTTGGCCCATCCTCCATGCAGATCTCCTCTAGAGCAGTGATGTTTTGGGCTGTCGCTGGGCAACACGGACTTTCAACTCCCTCCAAAGGTTTTCTATGGGGTTGAGATTTGGAGACTGGCTAGGCCACTCCAGGACTTCGAAATGCTTCTTACGAAGCCACTCCTTCGTTGCCCGGGTGGTATGTTTGGGATCATTGTCATGTTGGAAGACCCAGCCACGTTTCCTCTTCAATGCCCTTGCTGATGGAAGGAGGTTTGCACTCAAAATCTCATGATACATGGCCCCATTCATTCTGTCCTGTGCATGGATCAGTCGTCCTGGTCCCTTTGCGGAGAAACAGCCCCAAAGCATAATGTTGCCACCCCCATGCTTCACAGTAGGTACGGTGTTCTTTGGATGCAACTCCGCATTCTCTCTCCTCCAAACACGACGAGTTGTGTTTCTATCAAACAGTTCTATTTTGGTTTCATCTGACCATATGACATTCTCCCAATCCTCTTCTGGATCATCCACATGCTCTCTAGCAAACTTCAGACGGGCCCGGACATGTACTGTCTTAAGCAGGGGGACACGTCTGGCACTGCAGGATCTGAGTCCCTGGCGGCGTAGTGTGTTACTGATGGTAGCCTTTGTTACGTTGGTCCCAGCTCTCTGCAGGTCATTCACTAGGTCCCCCCCGTGTGGTCCTGGGATTTTTGCTCACCGTTCTTGTGATCATTTTGACCCCACGGGGTGAGATCTTGCGTGGAGCTCCAGATCAAGGGAGATTATAAGTGGTCTTGTATGTCTTCCATTTTCTAATTATTGCTCCCACAGTTGATTTGTTCACTCCAAGCTGCTTGCCTATTGCAGATTCAGTCTTCCCAGCCTGGTGCAAGTCTACAATTTTGTTTCTGGTGTCCTTCGACAGCTCTTTGGTCTTCACCATAGTGGACTTTGGAGTGTTTACTGTTTGAGGTTGTGGATAGGTGTCTTTTATACTGATAACAAGTTCAAACAGGTGCCATTGATACAGGTAATGAGTGCAGTACAGAGGAGCCTCTTAAAGAAGAAGGTACAGGTCTGTGAGAGCCAGAAATCTTGCTTGTTTGTAGTGGTGACCAAATACTTATTTTCCACCATAATTTGCAAATAAATTCTTTCCAAATCAGCCAATCTGATTGTCTGGATTTGTTTTCTCATTTTGTCTTTCATAATTGAGGTCTACCTATGATGCCAATTACAGGCCTCTCTCATCTTTTTAAGTGGGAGAACTTGCACAATTGGTGGCTGACTAAATACTTTTTTGCCCCACTGTATATATTATGCCAGATAAACGTGTTGCAGGGATATTATGGCCACTTGGTTCTCTCTATTTGCAGCTGCTTTTTAGAAGGAACCCGCTGTTGTGCAACTTTGACGGTGTCAGCAGTCACTTGATGTCCCTAATCTCAGGAACTGTGAGGGTGGCTGACAGTAAGGAAAGCCATAGATAAGAGGTGTCAAACTCCATTTCATTGTGGGCTGTATCAGCATTATGGTTTCCCTCAAAGGGCCAGTTGTATCTGTAAGACTAGATGTCCAGAGCACCCCACTACCCATGACCTCAAATGTCA